TCTTACTTTATGTCTATCCATGCCTTTATGTTTACTGTATGTTCCGTCCATTCTGTTGGTCTATCTTCTAATATTGTTTTCATATAGGAAAACATTCCTTCTCTTCCTGCAAGCATTTTGCTTTTTTTCTAATTGTTATTACTTTGATGTCCATTCCTATCCAAGACCTACTCTTGATGCTCCTAAGAAATGGCCAGTCATACATGTAGGACTTCTTACCATTTCAGTTTTTTATTATAAACATGAAACTTACTATACTATAGACCTTTGAGTTACCAATTGTTCTTTTATTTAATTTGTTAATTCATACTTCTTTCTATTTTTTCTCTCTTTAATTTCAACTCTCAATACCTATCCTGGCTTTAGTCAATTGATGACTTCCAAATATATATATATATTTGTAAGATAGGGAAAGGATATTGCTAGGGTAGTGCTAATGGTAAGGACTGTACCAGTCAGTTTGAGCTTACTTTGGGTCAATGTGAGACAAGAACACCCAAAATCCAGTTTTGATAAAAACAGTTCTTTAACCTATAGACTAATTTATAATGCAGAGTGTTGCCTACATTTCAATAAGCAAAATATATATGGTTGCACTGACAGATTGAATATTTTAATTTTTTAAACTGAAGTATTATCTTTTAAAAAAGCTTGGCTATATCTCTTCAAAGGGATGAAATTGCCAGTAGTTCCATTTTTGTTTGAACTTGTGTTTCTGTGGTATCTAGAAATTGGTGGCAAGAGTTCATTTGAATTTTAGCTTTTACTTTACTTAATTCTAACTTACTTAAAAGCTACATTTTTAACATTTTGAATACAACTGAAGCTTGACTTTAACAAAGGGCTGTCATAAATTCGGTGCGTGCATATCTGATGGGAAAAATATATTAGGTGAAATAACTTTTCAATTCAAATAGAAAGAAATCACATCTTTTAAAAATTTTATTCAGGTCATGGCTATTTGCTTTTTCTGATGAGGGAAACTATCTTTGTATTAACAGATCAATACCTTAAAATGTATATAAATATTTCCAATTACAACTAAGAATAGTTTCCAATTTTTAATTATTCTGCAATGTCTAAAATTTTGAAACAAATATAACAAATAATAAATTAATGTGATGGTAAAGCTCTTAAATATTATCAAAAGTAATTTAAGGATATGGTTAACCAAACTGATAATTCCAGCATGTGTAACATCTGTAATATAAACAGTTAAACTTAATATGGTCCATCTAAAGTATATAGGAAATTTTGTGCTTTCTGGATAGCTGGATGTAACCTTCTCTGAAGACAATTTTTTGTAAATGACATCTGTTTCAGTTTTAGGTTTTTACTAGTATTTTGCCAACAGCCACAGCTTTTTTAATGGTTGCCAGAAACTACATAGATTCATCAGATATTTTGTACAGATGCTAAAACAATATCCTCTTTAATTAAAACATTTCACATGGTATTGTGTCTAATAATGTACAAAAATAGTTTTTTGAAGGAAAAATGCTCTTTGTTTATTGTAAATTCCACTTTTTACCTTTGGTGGAAAATAAGGTGGAATTTTGAGTTCATGGAGAAGAGATATATTATGCCTTTTTTGGGGCTATGTAGGACTGAGCAGAATTGGTAATAAATGCATCACTACAGCAGTTCAAATTATGACATGATAAATTCAAGAATTCAAATTTAGAGTAAAATAAGTATCTTCTTTTGAACAAAATTGCATTTAGCAATTCATGCATATAACCATCCCTGTAGGAATATTTCTGTATTCTTGCTTGTATTCTTTATTACCCTGTGTAAAGCTCATAATTGGACACAGGAAAACATAATTTTAGTATAGTAATTCCTTTTGTAAACCAGATTCTAGTATTAACTCTGACTGAGCTGTAAAACAAGAGAATATTTTGTTTTGTTTTATTTTTTATTATTTTATGTTATTTTATGTTATTTTATTTTTCTGTTTCAGGGCGGCTCTGGCAGCTTACAAAATTAAAAGCTATAAAACCATAACACATACAGTAAATATTTCTAAAAGCAATGACATTTCAATCAGGAAAAAATTGCAAATAAAATATGCAATTACAATTGAATTTTGTACAGGATTGAGTGGAATAGAAGTGTATATAGATGGAATTATATCCCACTTTCTAAGAAACACTTGGCAAAGCCAGTCACTGTTTCTCCTCCTTCAAATAGGAAGGTCTCTAATTGTTGTTTCCTTGCCAGTGGAAGAATTTCTTCTATTCAAAATGATCACTAATGTTCATGAATATTCTCTGCTTATAATGTCTTTAAATAGGTTAAAGATAGAATAAGAATTGGGAAAATAAAAATGTTAACATTATTCTGTGCTAGTTTCAAGCAGAGTTATAGCACAACATACCATATTTTTTGGAGTATAAGATGCTCCGAAGTATAAGACGCACCTAGATTTTGGGGAGGAAAACAAGGGAAAAATATTTGCCTCTGCCTCCCAGCAATTTGCCTTGTGGAACAAACAGCAAGTTTCACTTTCAATTTCTCCCGATCATCAGCTGTTTCAGGCTGCAGGGATTGCTATAGCTTATTGAAGCCTCCGTAAACCCCCGTTTGCTGCAAAGAGGTAAATTGCTGGGAGGCAGAAGCCAAAGGGTTGGGGCCGGTGGATGGGTGGGGCTACATTCAATGTATAAGACACACCCAAATTTTCACCCTCTTTTAGAGGGAAAAGAGTGCGTTTTATACTCTGAAAAATACGGTACTTCATTTTTTTGTGGAGCATTCTGTGTTGTTTCTGCAGAAGGAGTTTTTATATATCATATTGTTAAGTTCCCATTTTTAATTAGCATTTGTCCAGTTATTTGAAATAATAAACTGAAAGCTCTTCTTCCACTTTATTCTTCTACATTTTACCAGATAATTCTGACTAAATTAGAATGATCGTTAGACATTAACACCTTTTTTTTTTTTTAAAAAAAAATCATTTTTAGGATGAACCCTAGACAAAATTAATTCCCAGCAATATTTGTTTCATCATGAATCTCCCACAAATCCATTTTAGCAAAATTTCCAAATTTGTTCCCATCTGGCAAAATTCTACTTCTCTTTTGCCAGGTTGCATTTGTTGGATAAGATAATTTTTTATCAATTGTTTAAAATTAGTAAAGTTCAATAAAGTTCAAACTTATTGTAAGGTAAATAAGAACTTTAATAAGTTCTTTATTTACAATTACAATTGAACCCAACATTCCGGTTGTTAAGTGAGACATGTATTAAAGTGAGTTTTGTTCCATTTTATGAGTTTTCTTGTTACAGTTGTTAAGTGAATCACTGCAGTTAATAAGTTAGAAATATGGTTGTTAAGTTAATCTGGCTTCCACATTGACTTTTCTTGTCATAATATTGAAAAAGGTGATCACATAACCTTCGGACACAGCATTGCTCATAAGTATGATTTAATTGCCAAGCATCTGAATTTTGAACACATGATCATGGATGCTGCAATAGTCATAACTTGAAAAACAGTCATAAGTCACTTTTTTCAGTGCCTTTGTAATTTTGAACGGTTACTAATGAACTGTTGCAAATCAAGGATTACCTGTAAGGTACTGTAAGTAAGTAAGGTAGAACTATAAAGCTATACATAAAGACACATGGAAAAACAAATGAGTAGTATCCTAAAGGAGAATAAAGTTTATTTTCAATAGATTGTGAAATAAACAGGTGAGATAGAAAAAAAAGACTGAAAAACTCCTCTATTTGTTTTAAATAACATGCAATGTTTAAAAAAACTGCAATGAGACCAGCATTTTATTGACTTCCTGTTAAAATAATCACTGCTTGTGCATTTCAAATGTACAGCAGGAGAATGATACTTTTTGAAAATGGTAGATCAAACGTGGATCTTATTTCAGCATGAACAAACATAGGGGAAGGGGAGGCCAAGAGGGCTTAACCGAACCAAGAGATGAGGGGAGATAGAGCATTCGTGGATGCCAAGGTTAAATAAACAACAACTGATACTTCCTTAGTACTGGTGACCTTTGAAATTTTCTTTAAAACAAAAAAGAGCTTATTCATTCTTCTAGCTAGCTAGAAGAATAAATTATTTAACGACAAATTTTATTGACAACTGTGGATAGAAATCCTTGATATTTTCAAGAAAATTTCTGTTTTGACAGGACAGAAGTTACCAATAACTTATGTGCATTAATATGTTTTATATCCATACTATAATTTATGACGGCTCTCAATTTAATTTTACCAATCTTCTTTTTTTTAAAGAAATGCAAATGACTTTTATTAATCTATTTTTAGTCATAGCAGAAGGTCTAGATTTTAAATTCTTGTTTCTCTTGTTTGAAAATGGCCTGATACAATGTGTTTGATCTATAAGCAATGAGAATCCATAAATAGTAGAAGTTTCTTTTGAGAATATATCTTGACAGTAGTTCTACCCGCTGCAGCCAAGAGACTATTCAATTGAAAAGGAACTTAATCATTTTCAAATGGAATTTTTGCTTTGAGTTGCAAGCACAGCCTTTACTGATATGTAAATTATGTCAACTCTATCCCAAATAGCTTATTTTATTCAACTTTTCCATTAGTATTCAAGTTCCATCAAAACTTGCTGAATATCACTACAAAATTAGAGCCAATATTACATACTGGATTCCATCTACAAGGTTAAATTTAATCCAATAGAAAACTTTGAAGAAATTTGCTTAAAATTCATATTGTTCAAGCAAATATTCTTTAAAGTTCTTAAATGCAATGTTCTTTTAACACTGAAGAAGTTCTTCATTAAAGTTATCATTATAAAAATATTTATTGTTGGCTTTGTTTTAACTGTTATAAATTAATCACATGGATTTGCTGTAGCACAGCTCAAACAGCAGTAACCTACCCAAAACTGCAATCCAAAGCCAATTTACTTGAGAAAATTTGCCAAAAAGATTTTGAAAGACTGGATTGCTCAGAAGTCCAAAAGCATATTTTCAAAAGAAAGCTAGATTTCTATTTACCTTCTAGATCTTTCTTTAGTTTTCTTAAATCTTTTATCAGGTCTTCGAATTTTACTTGTGATGCCTGGAAGAAATCTTGCGGCTCTGGCAATGGAAATACACTATTTTCTGTTCCTGCTTCCTAAACAAGAAAGTTAAAAACAATAATTGTAACAATGCCATAAGTCCTATGGAAACAGATACACGTCTTTAATTATAAATATAAATAAATGATGCAAGTTAAAAAAATACTCCTTTCCCTTGAAGACACATTGATTCCCCCAAAGAAATGCTTGTGATCTGCAAATTACATTTGTAGTACATAATAATTGTAATATTTAGCATCTTCTTGGTTAAAGACAGCTCACCTTTTATTTATTATAGTGTATTCATTTATAATTTGCACAGCTTTTATCCTCATTCATACTTCCTTCTGTCTTGGGCTTCTACGTTGTGGAATTTCTTGCCAAAAATCCTAAATTTCTTTTTGGTTATCCTTTTACTGATAGGTATCTGATGGATAAACTCTTGTGTTTCCTGAGATAAAGTTTATTTGACCGAATGCAGACTGTTTTATCAATGTGATCTTTGTGGGTGTTTGAACCACACTTTAACAGCTCTTAATTATTTGATTTGTACTGTGATGTAGCAAGCTATCATAGTTACAAATGCAAAATATAAATCTAATGAATAAATTGATAAATAAACTACCACCTTTGTTCAGAGAGAAAAAGTCAGAAACACACAGCTTTTGTGTGGCTGATGACACCCATATTTATGTCTGGCAATGTTAATTATTTCCACAGTTCCCTAAATGGGGAGAGTGTCAAAAGTGTCTGGTTAATGAATAGCAACTTTTCCAGTCATCGCGGAAAAGTTTTCTCTGTTTATCCATTCATCTTAGCCTTGGCACCTCATTGAAAAGCATTGCCTAGCATGCAAGGAAAACAAAGATACAAAGTTATCTTTGCATAAGCAAATCCTAATATTTAGCTGTAATTTAATGGCTGGTAACTGTGTTTTGTCCTTTGTAGGACATTCTTTAATCCAGAGAATTATTTTGCAAGAATAAATAAAAGGAGTGATTTAGAAATACTTCCTCTTCTTCTTTATTTTTATGTGCTATTACTCATACTATCATAACTCTTTGAGGAGGATTTGAGGGCTGCTCCAGGATGAATTAAACCTCAAACTTTTATTTTCTACTTATAGAAATCTTCACTCCAGAGTTGCTTAGTTGCTTAGAGGTGGAGCTCCCTCCTCACAATCAGGAGGCTGTGAGTTCGATCCTAGGTAGAGGCAGATATTTCTCTCTCTGGGCACAATGAGAATATATCTGCTGAACAAAACTCCGCAATGGCAACAGGAAGGACATCAGGCCAGTAAACATCCTGGTAGCTCCATTCAGTCCATCCCGCAAGGGATTATGAGGTCGTTAAAAGAAGATGATGGAAAACTTCAGTCCATCATAAAATTTGGGTCCACAGAAATTCACAGTTCCAATGTCTTAGCATTGGAAAGTTAAAATATAGTTCTCTGTAGTGTATATAAATTAATATCCTATTGATAACTATTAAATCTGATCTTTGTATATCTAGTGAAGTATTCAAATAAAGGCTTTAAATGTTTTTTGAATCTAAGAAATGAAAAAAGCTATGTGACTAGATATATAAATTGCTCTCTTTAAAATATAGATAATATTAAAATTATGAAAGACTTCAAGTGTGGTTAAATTAAACTTCCAGGCAAAAGTAAAATTTTGAAAAATATTTTAATGTTATCAAGTCTCATGCATTTTAATATATATCATTTGTAGCATTTAAAATATATGAATTCATTAGTCAATGTAAAATTATTTAACTATTTATTCATACTACTGCGCATTATTAATCTGAATATTCTGAATACATATTCAAATATACTCATTTTCTGTATGTTTAGCATGACACTATTAAAGTTGAAACAACTACATTTATCTGGCTAATGTTCCACTTTGAGGGATAGGCTCTGCCCAGTTTCATCTGCCTCTCCTACCAGATCAAACAGAGCAGGAATATTAACGGTTCCATCACCTAGGTCAGTGTTTCTCAACCTTGGCAACTTGAAGATGTCGGGACTTCAACTCCCAGAATTCCCCAGCCAGGGAATTCTGGGAGTTGAAGTCCCGACATCTTCAAGTTGCCAAGGTTGAGAAACACTGACCTAGGGAGTTATATTTGGCAGGCCCTAAGAGATGAGCTTTTTTTCTGCGTGGGTACCAGCACTGTGAAATCTTCTCTCCCCTGAGGTGAGTTTGACCCTGTCTCTATTGAACTTGAGGTCCCTCAAGACCTGATTATGCCAGCAGGCCTGTGGACCTCAGGAGAAGGGGGATAGAGTAATAATTGTAAATGTAATTTTAATTGTTTTTATATTTCTCTTTTTGCTGTTCATAAGTGACCCAGAGTCATCCAGGGATGGCATATAAATGTAATTTATAAGTACAAAATAAGTAAATAAACTAGTGAGGTGGCTCTGCTATTTTTAACAATTTACATTTATTATTCTTTTCAAAGATCCCACACCCACAAGGGATTAAGAGACGTAGGAAGACAAATAAAGCCATTCATGTAGTTTATGTTTCAACTTTAATCCAAGATCAAAAAACCCCAAAAGTCAAAATAATAGACAACAGGTTTAATTTTTCTCAGTTTTGTGCTAGCTTACCACCCTTACCCTTCCTGTTTCTTTTCTCATATTGGAATGGGATGAGCATAACTCTACAGAACCTTCTTAAATAATATACACAGTGCAATAATTGATAAAAATGTACCTTATCAAAATGGCGCAGGTAGTAAATTACAACATAATCTGCAAGGCTGATTCCTGTATCCTAAAAGAGGAAGAATTGAAAAATAAGATTTGAAAATATCAGAAAATGTGGGATATGAACATAAAAAATACAGATTGAAAAGAATAGTCTACTGTAATTTATACTTCCTAAACTCTTAATAAAGGTGAAGTGACCACAAACTCTGTGAAAACTAATTTGTAATAGTGAATAGTATAAATAGTTAGTAGTAAATTGCGACTATTTTCTATTATTGTTGTATTTTCAGGCACTCTCTTTTCAACAATTGAAAAATTGAAATTGAAATTTAATAAATTTGTATGCCGCCTAATCCCGTAGGACTCTGGGCAGCTTACAGAGACAAGACAAAAAAGTTAAAAATCAAGAATAAAAAGATACAGTTTTTAAAAATAACACACCATCCATTCTGTCTAGATAGGGCTGGACATCGTTCAATAGCCCCAGGCCTGCTGGAACAGCCAGGCTTTAGTGGCTTTTCGGAAGGCCGAGAGAGTAGAAAGGGTCCGGATCTCTACGGGTAGATTGTTCCACAGGGCCAGAGCAGCTACAGAGAAGGCCCTCCCCCGAGGGGCCACCAGCCGGCATTGTCCGGCCGACAGTACCTGGAGGAGGCCCAACCTGTGAGATCTTATTGGTCGTTGGGAGGTATGTGGCAGGAGGCGGTCTCTCAGATAGCCAGGTCCTAAGCCTTGTAGGGCTTTAAAAGTAATGACTAGCACCTTGAAGCGCGATCGGAGACCAATAGGGAGCCAGTGCAGCTCACTGAGGATGGGTGTAACATGGGTGTATCTAGGTACACCTGATATCGCTTGCGCGGCTGCATTCTGGACCAACTGTAGTCTCCGAACACTCTTCAGGGGCAGCCCCATGTAGAGCGCATTACAGTAATCAAGCCTTGAGGTGACGAGGGCAACTTAAGGAGAAGAAACCTATCCAATAAACTTTTATTTCTTAATGGGGATAATACAGAATCAGATAGGTTTATAAAGTTTTTGTCATATTGTAGCTACTCTCTTCATACAAAACTGTTCCTTGTCATGATCAGTAATGACTTGGACAGGGACTCAGTTGAAATGGGACCATCTGAATCTGTACCTGATATCCATTCTAAAATTTGTCAGCAGCCCAGAAAATGGGATTCTCAGGCTCACCTCTCCCTGCTTGTTTTATATGTACACACAACTGAGTAATTGGGCTTGGCAAAAATATTATATAAGAATCAATGGAAATTATTTTTCCAATTAAATTTAAAACATGGTAGAGATCACAGAATACATGATGGATATTATAATTCTTCTCAGATCCCTCGCAGGAATATTAGGTTTGGGGAGAAAAGCTACCAGAGAAAAGAAACCAAGACATTAAGAGGTTGGAAGAATCAGCTGGGCATGTTTAGCCCAAGGAAGAGAAATCTGCAGAGACACGTTAGCTCTCTTTAAATATCTGAAAAGTTGGCATGTCAAAGGTGAGGCAGATGGGTTCAAAGTTGTTCCAGAAAATAGGACAGGAAATTGTTTCGATTTCAATTGGGCATAGAGGAAAAAAAATGTAACAGTAAGGTAATGCAGGTGCTGCAATAGAATCTGGATGGCCATGGCATGGGAATGGATTAGGTCAGTGGTCTTCAAGCTTTGCTGGCTGAGGAACTCTAGGAGTTGAAGTCCACAAGTCTTAAAGTTGCCAAGGTTGGAGACCACTGGATTAGATGATCTCCAAAGTTTACATGCATGATCTATCATTCTGTTGTAATGCAATTGCCACAAAGGAAAAGTCATTTTCAAAAAATTACAGACATTTCTCCTTCCAATTGCACTGCACCATCAAGGCCAGAGAGCCAGTTTGGTCTAGTGGTTTAAAGCACTAGGCTAGAAACCAGGAGAATGAGTTCCACTTTAGGCATGAAAGCCAGAGGAGTGACTTTGGGTCTGTCCCTCTTTCTCAACCCAACTAACCTCACAGGATTGTTTTTGTGGGGAAAACAGGAGGAAAGAGTATTAAGCATGTTTGCTGCCTTGAGTTATTTATAACATTAAGGTGAGATATAAAAAGAAATCTAAAGGTCACCTTATGAACAACGAATTGTGTATAAAGCCTCCTATGGACAATTGCCAGCTTTTAACAGCCTAATTATCATAGAGGGGCGGGGCTTGGATAAAGGCTGCGGCCAGAATGAGGGACATCTACAGATTCTTCATTTCTGCTCCCAAGAATTAAGTCACAACTAGCCCTCATTAGCAATGCTGTAGTCTTCCCTAGGACCTGTCCAGGGTTCTGAAGGGTATGTCCTTCAGCAGGCTTACTTTCTGACCTCACTCTGAATGGCTTCTTGTTTATTAATCCCTTTCCCATGGCCCTTTGCTTCAAATTGCTACTTGATGTGTCTTTCTATATAATGTAGAATGAAACAATATTAAAAATGTTAGGACATTCATAGTGATGCGGTGTTAGGAGTAGGCACTATGCTTTTCACACCAACACTTAATTTAACATAGAAATCCCACTCCACCATCATCTCTCCCCCCCACCTCCCCAAACAAGCACTTCAGATTTATGCCAGTTTTGTACAGGTAATATTCAACATATATGCTAATTGAAAGATTGAATTAGATTAAGAATCTTCATTTAAACTGCATACTGTACTTACTCTGCTCTTAACATCTTTTAGTTTGGGAAGTATTTCCAAGCCAAATCCATCTGCTTGACCACGTGTTCGATTTCCTCCATTCATATAATTTCCAAAAGCCAGAACTAAAGCTAAAATATTTTTCACACTTTTCATTGTGATCAATGCCTGAAAAACATAGCAGGAATTTATAACATCAGAAAAATATTACATGAAGAAATATTTTAATGTTAGCTTTTCTATATAAACTTATACAGTGAAATATACTAACAGAAAAATGCTATACTTCTATAATTAATCAAATCAATTCTGGGCCATGAAATTATTTTAAGAGCCCACATTGCTCATGTTAGTAGAATATTGAATTAGGAATTCAACAGTTATCAGCTAGAAAGTTAATTGGATGACTTTGGGCCTACTATTATTATTATTATACAGCCATGGTGGTGCAGTGGTTAGAATGCACTAATGCAGGCTAACTCTGCTGTACCAGGAGTTCAATCATGAGTGGCTCAAGGTTGACTCAGCCTTTCATCCTTCTGAAGTTGGTAAAATGAGGACCCAGATTGCTGGGGGCAATATGCTGACTCTATAAACCACTCAGAGAGGGCAGCAAAGTATTATGAAGCTGCATATAAAATAAGTGTTATTGCTATTATTAAACCTTTGATTATTTCAATAATTGAAGTGATAAAAATGGAAGGCCATATATATCACACATACTTTTTAAAGTAGATCGGTTTTAGATGCAGCATATAGAAATAATTTATCATGTTGATATTTTTGCTGTTTTAATATTATTAGTTGCTAAAGGAAACACCGGCTAACTGTTTTGCATAATAAATGAATATAGTAATCCCAGACTTCAATAAAAGTTGAAGGGTGCTTGTGTTATGCGGATCTCACTCAATTATCCACATTTTGTACCAAAAGTTATTTTGTACTAAGAGTTAAGTTTTGACATGGTGCTTTCTTTGCTCTCCTGACAAGTCCCAAGATCTGTTTCTCCACCTTAATCCACTTGAAGGATTGGGATTTGAAGGGAGAGTTAACTTCCAAAGGAAGTGTAAACACAAGAAGAGGGCAAGAATCTCCCTATCTCCTTTCTAGTACTCATGAATTTGAAATCTTCTAGATTCAGAAATTTTCTTCCCTCTGCTGGTAGGTATGTAGAATTACACCAAGTTTGTTGAGTGGTGAGCCAGAGCAAAACCTTCTCAACCCTATTTATGAATATAGATTAAATTAGATAAATAAATTTACTTTTAGACCATTAGGTAAGTAACTTAGGCCTCAGTCCAGAAGTTATACAGTAGAAAAGTAAATGAAGTTCAAACTTGCAACTCTGAAGCGACATAATAGTCCGTGTCACTGATCCAACCAAGTATAAACACAAAAATATTGCATCCCTACATTACCAAATTTAAAATAAATCTGCAAAAAATAACACACTCAGAAAAAGGAGGGAAAAAAGAAAGAAAGTTGTTTTCTGTTCCAAAAGTTTATCTAAGAACCAAATGCCTATTGTTGATTCATGAAAGCTATTCTGACCTCAAGTGTCCCTGGGATCTCTTTGGATCCTGTCAGTGTTGAAATGGATGGGGAACTTTGTTTTGTGCATTTGAAAATAAACATTTGCAAGATCCATTGGCATTTTAAAGATTAGCCAATTTATTATGACCTAAGTATTCATAGATGTAAGTGAAAGCTTACAGTATGCTATAATAAATGAGTTGGATTTTGCCTATTGTAATTGCAACAATATGGAATATATTTTTTCATTTATTATTTTGCATAAACATTTAATTTTTAAAGCTATTTAATTTTTTTAGTAGAAAGTCATTTTGACTTAAAATTCTTGGTATTCATAAAGACTATAAAAACAGAAAATGACATTTGTTAGGAAGCACAAGAATATATATTACTTTAACTAAACTTGATATAATTTTCTATCATTTTTACTCAGAAATAGTCATGTTCAATGAAGGAAAATAAACCTTAAAATGTTACAAATTGCAAGTACCTTACAAACATGATGAATAATGTCAACTTTATGATGAACTGCAATTATCCCTTCATTGAAGACAGATTGAAAGATTATACATTGGGCACGTTCAGCAAAATTGGAGATCTGGGATAACTCATATAAAAATCTGTGAAAATAGGAGCAAACATGTACATTTCAATCAAGTGATTGAATTTTACATTATATAATCCAACGTATCATAGAAATATTAACAAAATGAGCTCCTGTTATAATTTAAATTAAATTTAAACAAACAATAAGTGTAAAATAAACAATCTTTTTATCTTTATTGAAAAAGATAAATTCAATATTCCAGCACAGTGTATCACAAATACAATCTGAAAGAAATATAAAGGTTAGAGATAGTGCCCTCTGCTGGAGAAAAACAAAACAAAAAACAAAAGTTCTAGTCCCATTGTGGTTATATGACATTTGATTAGGTTCCAATGAGTAAGTATCCTATGATAATTTCTATAATTCTCAGGCTTATTCCTAAAAATAATTAGTCCATTTTTCGGAGTATAAGAGGCACCAAGGTTTTGAAGAGGCAAATTTAAAAAAAAGTAGGTAAGTAGATAAAGGGATAGAGAGGAAGAGAAAGAAATACAGTAGGTAGGTAGGTAGGGAGAGAAAGAGAAAGAGAGAGTAGTTAGGTAGGTAGATAAAGGGATAGAGAGAGAGATAAATAGAGAGAGATAGATAGAGAAATACAGTAGGTAGGTAGGGACAGAGAGGGTGTAGGTAGGTAGGTAGAGGGATAGAGAGAGATAGAGAGAAATACAGTAGATAAGTAGAGAAAGTGACTGAAGGTAGGTTGGTAGATAGAGGGATAGAGAGAGAGAAAGAGAGAGAGAAAGAGAGAGCAATACAGTAAGTAGGTAGGTAGATAGAGGGATAGAGAGAGAATGGTAGGTAGGTAGGTAGGTAGGTAGAGTAGGTAGGTAGGTAGGTATATGTTTCCAGGTGTATTTATCCATGTGCTGGAGAAGGAAATCACTGACAATCTGCAGCACCTAAGACTTTGTTTCTGCTGGCACAGCACTTGATGAATGTAATTCTCATCAATCAGTTAAAGAGCTTTTCAAAAGGGGAAAAAAGTTTTTGCACTCTGCAAACCTCCCCAAAAGGGCCAGTTTTTCACAAAAACGGGCTCATTGTTTCCCCCCAAAAAGGCATGAATAGCTTTTGTCAAAAAAATTGTATGCATTGCCTTATGGAGGCTTATAGAGTGCTCCTGGGGGCTTTGGGGGGGGAGGGGAAATTGAGCAAAAAAAAGGCCCTTTTTGCTTATTTCTGCCCTCCCCAGCTCTCTGAAAGTTCTCCATAAGGCTATGCAGGGCCATTTTGGTGAAGGGGCGGGGCTTCGGGTGGCAAAAAATGTTGTATTCAGTATAAGACGCACCCAGATTTTCGGCCTCTTTTTTGCGGGGAAAAAGGTGTGTCTTATACTCTGAAAAAATATGGTAATCTTCAAAATAAAAACTTTAATTCTATTCTATTTAATATAACATAAGCATTCTACTTTCAATAATACAGATCTACTCAAAAGTAAATCCTGTTTACTTCCATAGGGTAGCAAAGTAGATACAAGATTGTATCTGAAACTTCTATCAAACATTGATGTTTAGAGTATTGAGGCTAACCCAAGGTATTGAGTAGAGTATTGAGGCTAACCCATACCCTTTAGGTATGATGTTCACAACATTAATCAGATCCTGTGAAGGCTCCTTATCTGAAATTTAGTTTTTATTATTATTAACAAATCACTTCACTAATTTTACTTTGCTGGGAATTGGCTGCCGTTTGAGGTTATTTTACTGCTTTTAAGAACAATTCTTATCTTGAGAATAACCAAACTTCAATATATAAATAATGAAGATTTCTATAGAGACAAAGAATATCAAAATTTTAATCAGTTATGCATTAATTAAACTGAACTAGAATTCTGGCTCTAATTTAGTGTAGTGTCTTCCTTTGTTGTGATGTTTGTATCTATATAAGGATTAAACATGCTGGAAATCTTCATATCCATTCTACCTTTCAGTGGATTCAATATAATAGATAAAATATAAGTATGTCTACTTTAATGAAAAGAAGGACTAGGGGTGACATGATATCAGTGTTCCTATATCTCAGGGGCTGCCACTATTCTCTAAAGCACCTGAGGGAAGAACAAGAAGCAATGGATGAAAACTAATCAAGGAGAGAATTAACTTAGAACTAAGGAGACATTTCCTGACAGTTACAACTGTTAATCAGCGGAACAACTTGCCTCAAGAAGTTGTAAATGCTCCAACACTGGATGTTTTTAAGAAGATGTTGGATATCCATTTGTTTGAAGTGGTGTAGGGTTTCCTGCCTAAGCAGGGGGTTGGACTAGAAGACCTTAAAGGTCCCTTCCAACTCTGTTATCTTATATTCTGTTGTTAAGTGTTAGGCTTCTCACTCACTGGGAATAGTTTAGGACGCCAAACAGGATGTTACATACATATTTGCGGATTTTCTTAAATAAAAAGCAAGTTTGGGAGGTTGCTATATAAAACCGGCAGTATCTACTTCATTTCTGAAAGTTGGGAAAAAGAAGTTGCAGTCTTCGCCAGATGCACTGAGACTCTAACTCTTGAATTCTTTCCCAACATAGCTTTTGCAGTTTCAAAACATCTGAACAGCAGCAGCAGGTTTTGATTAGCTCATTCTGTAGCTATGAATGTTCTCTTTGATTAGCACCCAGAAGAATCTTTCTCTCATGCTGTAGTACATATACTGATACTAGCTGGATACCTGTGCTTCGCGACAAAACTACGTGACTGGATAATGCAGGAGACATCCGGTTCACTCCGGTTCAATCTGTTGGCTCAGTGGTGGTCGGTGATTCAAATACATAAGGAAATATCGTTCCCACTGCCTTGAGTCCGGAAGCAGTTCCATGGGTGGAAGGCATAGACATTTTGGCGAGGTACTGATGTTTAGTACTGTAAGGAGCCCCAGACCGCTCCTGAGTGAAGGAGTGGAATGTCTCCCAGTTTGAACTAAGGTAACAGAATGTGAGGCAACAGAGTTCTTTTCAGGTGGGGAAGGGATTAGAACTCTTTAGCATCAGAGTGTGTTAATTACTGTATAAGAAATACTAATGATCTGATGGTCATTTTGAAAAATCCTTTCTTAACAAGCACCTAGAAGCCAAGAGGAACATACAGTATGTGCTAAATTTCAAGTTTGTAGGCTTTAAGGTTCTGGAGATTTTGTGATGAGTGGATTTGGCTTAGATAGATAGATAGATAGATAGATAGATAGATAGATAGATAGATAGATAGATAGATAGATAGATAGATAGAT